CATCTCGGAAGATGTGAGCTTGGCTTTCTTCTGCGGGGGAAGTCAGTATACGTTTTTTGCGCGTTTCTTCGTCATGCTAACCTTTTGTGATGCTATCTTATTACCCTATTGTCATAGTTAGCACATATCTTGAGAGGGTAGGGTACAAGGGGGCCGCCAGGGGGGTGGGCGGGTCGAATCTGGTCGACAACAGGAAGCAGGAACGGGGAAATCACTGACCATTGCATCAAACTGGCGCATTAAGTTAGCAAAGATCAATCAACATAGTGGGTTGAGTGACGACATACCTTCTCCTCTTCTTCACCGTCGTCCTTGGCAAGACGGGGTCCGGCACCCTGACCTTGCACCCAGTTGTGACCGGAAGGAGTCATGCGACCGTCCATGACAGCCCAGACTTCTTCAGTGAGGTTGGCAGTGAACTCGGCGGAGTGAGTAATGATGATAACACCACCCTCGAAGGTCTTGATGGCCTTGGAAAGAGCACCAAGGGAGTCACGGTCCAGGTAGTTAGTAGGCTCGTCGAGGACGATCAAGTGAGGACGCTGCCATGAGCAGGCAGACAGAACGACCTTGACACGCTGACCTCCGGAGAGACCACGCATACGGGAGTGAGAAACGAGCTCAGCGTCGAGACCGAAGTTGGCGCAGTGGGCCTCAATCTCCTTGCGGACAAGGGGACGGAACTGACCGCTGGCAAGAGCCTCCTTCTGGTCAACCTCGGCGACCATCTTGGCGTGGGAAGCCATGATCTCGGAACGAGGAATCCAGGCGTTGTCAGCAGACATCATGGGTGTCCAGCGCTCGTTCTTCATGCCGACGTTCTCTCCGAGAGCGAACGAACACTCGTACTCGTAGGAGTTCTTGAACTTCCTGCGGGAGTTGATGCCGATGACGCGACGCTCGGTACCCTCGATCTTGTAGACCTTGTCCATGGCCTTCTCGTCCTCCTCGGTGACGATCTTGTTGGCACGGTCCATGGTCTCACGGTCCTCACCAGTCTGGAAACGCCATTGGATGTACTCGGAAGGAGTCTTGTCGAGGTGGTGATCAATATGGGCGAAAGCGTGCTGCTTAATGTAGGCAATACGGATGTTCTCGTGGTGGTAGATCTCACCCTTGGTGGGGACAAGCTCACCAGTCAAAACGTTGACAAGGGTGGACTTTCCGGCACCGTTGGGGCCAATGACGGCAATACGGGATCCGAGCGAACACTGGAAGGTAATGTCCTCAATCTGGGGCTTGGAGGTACCCTCGTACTGGAAGCTCATGTTGGTGGCACGGAGAATGGCCTTGGCCTTGGTCTTGACACCCTCAAGGAAACCAGGCTCGGGGAACTTGAACTCCATGTCGGAGGCAGCCAACTCGTGGTAAGACTTGGCGGAGGGCACACGCTTGACGAAGTCGTCAAGGTTACCACGGTAGCGCTTAAGCTTGAAGCGCTCGTAGTGGATGACGTGCTGGATTACGTTGTTCAAGAACTTGCTGTCGTGGGAGATGACAATGGATGTGCAAGGGGAGCTGGTGAGGTAGTCCTCGAGCCACTTGACGTTCTTGACGTCCAAGTGGTTGGTGGGCTCGTCAAGGAGCAGAATGTCGGGCTTCTCGAAGACAGCACGGGCGAGCGCGAGCTTCATCTTCCATCCACCAGAAAGAGCACCGATGGTACCGTTGTACATGGCATCGGTGAAACCGAACTCGTTGAGGGTAGTCTTGACCTCTGACTCAGGGGTCTCGACACCGACGGACTTGAGCTTGCCCATAGTCCACTCAAGAACGGTCATCTCAGTGTCAGCAGAGTCCAAGTCGTGCTCGACGTAGACAGTCTTGACCTCGTTCTGCTTAGGGAAACCCTCGACCTGCTCGTTGTTGATAGCGCGCATGAGAGTGGTCTTTCCGGAACCGTTGGGTCCGAGGAGACCGTAACGCTGACCACGCTTGAGACGGAGATGAGTCTGGTTGAGCAGGATCTTAGCACCGTAGGCCAAGTTGAATGTGCAGTTGCAGAGGTCCTCGCCCTCCTCCTCATCGGGCTCGACGGCGCGCTCAGCGGCGGCACCGGGGAGAGATCGCTTGCGGGTCTCCTCAGTGACCTCCTTGGCCTTCTCGTCACCGACAAGGACGGCAACGAAAGGACCGGCGTTAGCTTGCCAGTTAAGAGGCTCGTAGTCCTTCTCGTCAATCAGCTGACCACCAATGGCACCAACGTAGTTGACGACAGGGGTGAAGCGGTCGTCGATCTTGATGCTGGAGGGGATAGCGGCCTTGAGGTGGTTGGCAATGGTGGAGATGTCACCAGACTTCTCAATCTCAGGGATCTTGCCGTTCTCGACGTGACCGACACGGATGAGGGTGTCGAGACCCTGGCGGGTCTTCTCACGGGCCTCGGGGTCAGCTAAGTTGTCGTGGTTCTTCTCAAGCGCGGGCATGAGACGGGGCAAGAAAGCGGCGACAATCTGGGGGTCCTCGACAAGCTTGCACATGTTGTCGATAATGACGGCAGACTTACGCTTGATGGCAGTCTCGCGCTCGACGAGACCACGCTCAAGCAGGGGAACCATGATAGCGAGGGTGGGCTCGTGGACGTCAGTGACGAAAGTGGTGGCACCGAGCAAGTGAACGGTCTCGGGGACGTTCTCGGGCTTAGCGATACACTTGATGAGCTCGGGAATGAAGCGCTCAATATCCTTGTTGGAGATCAAGGAGCAGAGAGTCTCCATGGTGCCGTAGGCAGCCTTCTTGACCTCAGGCTTGGTGTCCCACATGGCTCCCGAGATGACGGGAATCAGGTCGGGGACACGGAAAGCCATCTGTGCCGGGGCGCTCTTGGTGAGGGCCTCAATGCACTTCAGGTCGGTCATCTTCTCAGGCCACTTTTGTGCGTTCTCAAGCGAGTTGATGATGTGGGGGATGATGGCCTTGACGGCGTTGGGGTTGGCGGCCATGACGATGGACTCGGCGGCGGTCTGAGCAGCGACCTTGACGCCGCTCATCTTGTCACCGACTGCGGCCAGCACATCTGGCAGGAGGGAGACGAGGTAGGGCTCGACGGAGGCGGAGACGTGCGAGTGCTGAGCGATAGCACGGATGGCATCGAGAGCGCGCTCGCGGGCGACGGCATCCTTCTTGCTGGCGAGTTGCTTCTTAAGCACCTGGACAGCCCTGGCGGTTTGTTAGAGATTGCACTGTGGCGGGGAAGGAGCAGAGGGTTAACGTACTTGGTGGGAGCGTCAGCCTCCTCAATGTCGCCGTTGATGAAGGTGGCGATGGCCTGAGCAGAGGCGTTGATCTCGTCCTGGGCCTTGGACACGGTCAACTTCTGCATCATCTCCTCAAGCGCCTTGAGCGACTTGGAGTTCTCGGACTTGATGTCCTTGGCATCATGCGAAGCAGCAGGCGCCATTTTGTCGGTATAGGTGGAGGGGGGTGTGTGTAGAGAGGGTGGAAGATGTAGGTGGGGTGGTCCTTATATATGGACTGGCGGGGCCTAAAAAACTTTTGGCGCGAAAAGATAGAGTGAATCTATCCGGGGGTATCAACGCGAGGAATCTGACTCGCAACCTTTCTATGCTACCGGGCACAACGACAGAAAGAAGGGAAAGGGAGTGTGAGTGGAGAGAAGTGGCAGTCAAGGCTCGAGGGGCTCTTTAAATTTGCCCTTGCTGTTTGGTGGGATGGTGGCTCGCTTTGAGATTTTCTCGCACGGGCCCAGATCTTATCGCGCTGAGGAACCCGACACCAGCTTCGCCGCCCAGGCCTTTGCGCAATTATCTACCTATGATCTAATCCGCATCCCATTCAACGCCAAAATTTTCCTTCTTGCCGTATTTTCTCCAGTCATCTAGAACTGCCCGCAAGTGTCTTCTTATGTTTCTTCATAACAGCGTGGCAGCTGCTTTGCCGCCGCCGGAGCCATGTTACAGCCCACGTTGCAAAAGGCCATCTATGTGTGGCGAGTTTGGGTAAGGCGCGCTGACCGCCTTCTTCAACAAGACACCGTAGCCAACGACATGCAGCCAACGGTTGGGAGCCGCGGGAAATGCGCGCTGAAGATCAGGGACTGCACTAATCCAACCCGACCGCCATGTCAGCATCCTTACAATACAGCACACATCTCAAGCCACGCCATTTACAACACATATTCTGCCAATTATTCCACCTCGGCCCTTTGAAAACACCACAGCATACGACTTCTAGCTCAATCTACGGGCGTTCTCTTACTGATGGGGTAGCCTTGCCGGCCACTGTTCGTACAGCCTTGCCAAGTCGTCGCACTACGGCCACAAGCGGAGGCTCCAGACTGCATCCTGGACTACCTCCCCGATTCTGCCGAAGTCGAGGCAGCAAGCGCTTCTGGTACCCTCGCCACCCAGCGTAGAAGGCCGCCGAGCCATCACCGGCAACACGCCGTACTATACCAGGAATATTAGAGACGGTAAAATCTTCCGAGACTACTTGTCAGTATAGTGCATGACATACCGAACCTGACCGCTCTGGTGTTGCCTTGTCTGTTCCCTGCTTATAGAATTACTAATGACATCCTTGCGACGGCCCGTTACGGACGCAAAACACAATTGATGTCCTAGGCCTTACGAGAAAGTCGAACCCTGACGATGTTGAATTGTTAGACGTATGCGAACCATCGCTCAACTATATTGCGCTCCGCAAACCCCCACTTCTTATCGATACCCCGGATTCCGACGTGTCAGAGTTCCTTACAGTACGCTTGTACCAATCCGTCATACTTCAAGTATGCGCATTTATGGCATTGTTAGGTGTGCCAACGGCACCTTGTAGAGTTGTCTTATCCTTTTCCCATTGCAAACTTTTCACCAATCAGCGCAGAATCGGCCTGCTCGTCTAACCCGCCTCAAGACACATTTGTTAACGTCAACATGCAGAGGCAACCCAGGATCACCAAGTTCGTCGACAGCCTGCGCAAACTGCCCGAGGGTGAAAGCATGGAGCAGTCAAAGCTTGACCATTACCTCCAGCCTTGGTGATTTACCAAGTATCGGACGTATTCTGGGCCCGGATCTGATGAGCAATGGGACAAGCTGCTACAGAACATCACCGCTGGTGTCAAGCATCGACTCAAAGCGCATGGAGGATCAATTGAAGATCCTGCCATGATTACCAAAGCGGAGGAACTCTTCAAACTGGATGCTCGTTCAGATCCCCCCGTCCTGGACGACTTGACACTCGAAGAAGTACGGCAGCTTTACCACGATGAAACGGGAGGCCAGCCATTAAAGAAAGGCAAGGGTCTATGGCAGATCTTTATTTTAGTCGACGCAGACGTGTTGGCGAGCCCTGACCTTGGCATGATCAAATGTGCAGCGGCGGCTGGTGTGCCTAAGAATCCGAGATTCGGCCCCCAGCGTTACTTTTGGTGGCTAACCATGTCTTCCGAACATGTATTGACTTTGTGGTTTAGATTGGAAATGTATTTCTTCGAGGAAATGGACAATAGTACAGCTGGTGGCCCAGGCGCCTGATGTGACCCAGACAAATGGTGATGGGCCAGGTCCACCTCATAGCGCACTAACGCTGTGCTGTATGCGAAATGTAGCCGAGTTGCTTTGCAAACAGATGGTCATACATCGTGAGTTTTACATTTATCGTCGACATATTCTGCATGCAGAAGGCGAAGAGGGCAAGGTAGGTGTTTCGTACAGCTGTAGCAGCCATCGGCCATCCTCAATGGAGCCTACGTTGACGTTAGGTTACCTGCTTTGCATGCTGCTATCTTAATGTATGCTGCAAACCTGTTCAGGTCCTTTCATACATTGGGTGATACGATGCATGAAACACATAGACTGCCCCGTTTGAATCAGCCTCGCAACGCCTTGGAGATCGATACTTTAGCAGCTAGCCAGACACTAGTCGAATGTTCATGTTCAAGACGCGGCAAATAGCACTCTCTTAAGTATTGCATGATCATCGGCTGCCACATGCAGAGTCTAGAATAGCCACAGCACACAAGTAAGGCCCTGTATGAGGAGCTCACGCAGCTTGGTCATACAGTTTTCTCGAAGGCACTTATAGTGATGTTCCCAGGCAGCAGACCTTGTGCGCGATCATAAGAATAGCGCCGAAAGTGTGACAGGGGCGATGTTGAAAAGAATCAGGCAACACTTTTCTAGCAACATACATTCGTCTGCAGCTTTTCGGCAATTAGTACCGCAAGTATTTTGAAGTATGCCCAATCGCGATGGAGCAAATCGTGTTTGTTGCGGTCAGCGTACTGTCAGCTGCGTGGACGAACTGCAGGATGTGGTCAGTGCTGTGCTGGCCCCTCAGCCAAATTTCCGGCCATGTCCGACTCCACATCCACCACCAAATCGCTCACAGCTCAGCCGCAATGCGACCCATGTCTAACCCGTTGGGTACGATCAGCCTTCGCAGACATGTGGCGCGCGCAGTCAGCTCCGTACGAGGGTAAGTCACACTTAAAGCGTGCGTGTGATGCCGCAATCGCACTGGCCCAACCATCTGCCAATCTGCCCCTCCCCCACCGTAGGCGCAACCACCTTTCACATCATCTCTACCTAGAGCCTTCGTATACCTTTTCATCGTAGACATCAATACACACTACTTTCAAGAACGACATGTCAGGTCAGGACTACTACGGTCAGGGCCAAGGCCACGAGCAAGGCTACGGCTACAGCCACGGCGGCGCATACCAGCAGCCCCAACAGCCGCAGCATGGCTACGGAGAGCATAACCAGGGCTATCCCCCTCAAGCTCAGGCGTACGGACAGCAGCCGCACGACCAGTACGGTCAGGGACATCACAGTCCCTACCCGCAAGGACAGGTTAGCATTATTGCGCAACGTCGGCGCATCTTATTCACCAAGCTTCAGCTACTCACGTTACTGTAGAGCTCCTACCCCCCGCCGTCGCACGACCCGTACGGACAACCTCCCCAGCACGGCTACGGTGCCCCGCCCCAGGGCCAGTACCAACAGAGCTACGACCCGAACCGCAGCACTTCTCCATACCCTCCTCAGGGACATCAGCAGCAAGGCTACCACGACCCCAACCAGCAGTATGGAGCGCATCCACAGCAGGGCCATCATGACCCACAACAAGGCTATGGTGCGCCGGCATATGGTCAACCCGGTGCGCCTGGCGGCCCTGGCGAAGGCGACCGCGGCCTGGGTTCAGCCCTGATGGGAGGTGCAGGCGGTGCGTTCGTGGGTAACAAGCTCGGCGGCGGAGCTTTGGGCACGCTTGGAGGAGCGCTTCTGGGAGCAGTTGGCGCCAACCTCATACCTGATAAGTAAGCTGAATGCATACCCGAGCACTGAAACGGACATAACCTAACGCGACTCTAGGAAGGAGAAGAAGCACAAGAAACACAAGAAGCACGGCAGCTCTGAGCACGGCTCACACCACGGTTCACACCATGGGTCTTCGCATCATGGGTCGCATCACGGATCTTCGTACCACAGTCATAGCCACAAAAGTCATAGTAGGAGCCGTAGCAGGGGCGGCAAGAGCAGTTCCAGTTCCAGTAGCGACTCGGACTAGAGACACTGCGCATGTCGAGTGTTTCTGGCTTGGTAAATGCAGAGCGCACGCTGTGATGGCAAGGCCATAGTCATACTTCTCTTGAATAAGATCCGTTCATAAAGCTAAAAACGTGCTCGTCTACGCAAATGCCTGTTCCACTCTGTCAATGCGCCCGAGTCGACTTTGCTCACAGATGAAGTTAAGGGTGGCAGCCAACTGTGCGCATGCCTGCCATGAATCTGACATGCTGGTATGTATGCTTTGCATGCAGATGTGGATCAGACCCTGTTATCCCAAAGTGGTTAGGCGTGCCACCAGACAGCCCTTTTTCTCCACTCTTACTCATCGCCGCAAATTCCAAAAGCAGCCCCGCAACCACGCTATCAAGATGCAAAATTAGTGGGAATCAGTTTGCAACTTCCCGTAACAACGTCTTTAATAACCTACGAGATACTTTCCTACCTCGAAACTCACCCAACCGTCGTAAATATGGCGGACGTTTTCCTGGATTTCTTTCGCAGTTCACTACCCGATGAACTCGCGGCAGTGCTCGAAACGACCATCACAGCGACGAAAACGGGAGATTTTCTAGAAATACTCCAACTACCGGAAGCGCAACTATTGCTAGGACATCAGGACAATGAAGCCACCAAGGAAGTCAAAAGAAGCGACTTCGCCCTTTGGAGCGACTACATATTCCATCGTCTAGGGCTACTTTTATCGAAACGGAACGAGGAGGATTCTACCCCGATAAAGGAAACGTCAGCATATCGGCAGCATGTTTACTTCCTCATCGCCATTGCGGCATTCCATGCGTTCCTGCAGTCGAATGTCACTGGACCGCCACTACCTTTCAAGTCTGCTGAGACGCTGTTGTCAAAAGACGTCGCAGATGATGCCAAACTTCTCAGTAGGACGCGCGCAGATCTCATCGCATCGCTGAGTGCAGATGGTGTAGCGGCATACAAACTCACACCGAACATCGAGCTGCTGTGCCTTGCGCACACCATCCTCATCAGTCCCCCGATTCAAAAGAATATCCCCGTTTCGGCATGGGCGCGCCTCAGAGTGAACTTTGTGCATCAGAGACTGCTCAGCGAGCCGGCGCCAAGTCTACAGGATGCTATCTATGATGACTTGAAGATCGTAGAGGACTTGATCCAGAACTCGGGGAAGCATGGGGAGATCAAAGACTTGCATACGACCTTCCTCCTGGAACGAGCAGCTGTTCATACGCACCATGGCCTGGACAAGAAAGCCAAGGCGGACCTTGACCAGGCAACCTCGGAACGAAAGTTCGAATTTGCATTGACGGGACTGATGGGCAAGAGAACGAAGTTTCAACAAAAGGACACCAGTCAACTGATTGTACTCGCCCGAAGTGCGGGATCAGAAACCAATGGCGCATCTGATGAGAGCTCAAAACCAAAGGCTTTAGATCTCAATGATGATACCTTGCTGGAGTCGATCTCTTTCACCAACAACACTGCATCCATGGAAATCAAGGACGAGTCTAGTCTACCAGCATCGCTCACATCCATGGACCCATCGAACCAGCCATTGCTCGACCCGCTAGACTCCGTCATCATGCTTTCGTTAGCCGAAAGCATCAAGAACACTAATCCAGCAGATGGTCTTACAAGAGAACAAACCGAACCGTACGCTACGAGAGTGCTAGAAGGCGGTAGCTCGAACTGGCAAGTCTACACCCAAGCTCTGCTTGTGAGGAGTCGCATCGAAGGCTATAAGTCTCGGACGATGGAGCGCGGACTGCTCCAGCTCCAAGCGCTGGTTGATCAGGTTATTGCAGAGACCTCAGGCGATGCTACCACTGACGCCGAGACTGGCGAGAAGATCACTTCGTTCCTCCCACAAGTGAAGGAGAGCGAGTCGGCATCCGTTGAGGAACGCCTCCGTTACGTCTTCCCGCTCTGCTCCCCATCCCGTTGGGAGCTTGAGTCTGAGCTCGCTGCGCGATGGGTAGCCCTCGGCGGTCTACGATCTGCGCTCGAGATCTACGAGAGACTAGAGATGTGGGCTGAAGCAGCGCTGTGCTATGCTGCCACCGAGAAGGAGGAGAGGGCGCGCAAGATGATTCGACGACAACTTTTCCACGCCACCAATGGCGACGACGAGAACGTTGACCTGGACGAAGAGAAGTGGGAAGGTGCTGAGCGAGATCCACCACCAGCCGAAGCACCGCGCTACTATTGCATCCTGGGCGACATCGATAACGATCTCTCCATGTACGAAAAAGCCTGGAACGTCTCCGGCCAAAGATACGCGCGAGCTCAACGCTCCCTCGGTCAACGCTACATCTCAGCACGCAACTACGAAAAGGCCGCAGAAGCATACGCACTGTCCCTAAAGATCAACGCGCTCTACCACCCCGCATGGTTCGCGCTCGGATGCGCCTACCTCGAGCTCCTTCAATTCAAGAACGCAGTCGAAGCCTTCTCACGCTGCGTACAGCTCGACGATCAAGACGCGGAGGCATGGAGCAACCTCGCAGCCTCGCTCCTGCACCTCAAGCCCAGGGTCCAAGAAAATGAAGACGGCGAACTCCAAGAAACACGCGTAACAAACCATCCACGCACCGACGCCTTAAAAGCATTCAAACGGGCCGCAACAATCAAGCACGACAACTACCGCATCTGGAACAACGTACTCGCCGTGAGCGCCTCCACCAACCCGCCCTCTTGGGCCGACGTCGTAACAGCACAACGCCGCATCTGCGAACTGCGCGGCTCGACTGAAGGCGAAAAGTGCGTCGACGCCGAAGTAATCGACATGCTCGTCAAGCACGTAGTGTCCGCCGAAGACGGCTTCGACATCACGCGCCCCGGCCTCCCCCGCCTCGTAAACGACCTCATGGAAAAACACATCAAGCCCCTCATCACCGTGTCCCCCAAACTATGGCTCATCCTCGCAACCCTGTACACGCACACGCAGCGCCCCAGCTCCGCACTCGAATGTCATGAGAAGGCGTGGCGGGCCGTGACGAGTCAGCCAAAATGGGAGTCGGGGACTGAAGCGGAGTGGAATGCTGTTGTGGAGATGACTATTGATCTTGTAGATGCGTATGAGACGTTGGGACCGAGAGAACGGACGGAGGGGTTGGCGAGTGGCAGTGGGGAGGTGGTGGCGAAGGATTGGAAGTTTAAGAGTAGGAGTGCGGTGAGGAGTGTTATGGGCAAGGGGAAGGAGAATTGGGAAGATAGTACTGGGTGGGAGAAGTTGGTGGAGAGGTTGGAGGAGTTGAAGGGGAGGGACTAGGTAGGTTGGTAAGTATCTGGTGCTGTGGAGATTTGTTGGGGGATGAGTACTGTCGACTAGAGAAAGTATAAAAGCTTGTTTTTCTATTGGTATCTTCTACGCATATGATGATGTTCCAATGTGATCGAAGAGAGGGTCAAGCATGTGTTGGTAGGCTTTTCATTGAGCTCGCCGTGCTAGGAGGCGATCATCGCATCTGAATCCTCCTAAGTTGAGAATGTCGATTTATCATGCACCGACATTCAATATCATCGCAGCACTGTGTCATATAGCCTAGAAAATCACTCCCGCCTGAGTTCCAGGGAGATGATGCACCTACCAGATGGCTGAGATTCTCAAGGGGCGAACCAAGGATGTAAAGACATAGCCGTTGAAGACGTTGCACACCAATCGTTAGAGCGAAAAACAATGTCTCGCAGCGGAGACGCCTTCAAGGCGTATCTACACTCTGAGCGGCAAACTCGGGCGAAGTTCCTGGGGAACTAGTGCGCCGCGGTTTGTACCACGCTCTGCGCTGTCGGTAATCAGTATCGTGTCAGCAAAGACTGCTGCCCCAGAGCGACTGCCCTCTTAGTTCGTGCGACGCAAGCTACCCGTCTAGGTGCATGATCAAAGCTGAACTCTTTCTCCACACCCGCTCTTCCGGCGGCCTGACCTGGTATCCGGGTTGTCTCACCCCTTGCTGTGGCGACCGAGAAGGTTTGGTGTGATGAGAAAGTAAGAACAGACCCGACAACCGGGCTCAGAAGGGCGTGCTTTGCGAATCGATTCCGCCGCGGCACTTTGGCTTTTGACCGAGCCTGTGAACGCGAAGGTGATGTATCGTGGTCAGAGTGGCCATGCTCATCTTGGATAGTTGCATAAACTTTATTCTGGCTCGGTACCGAGGTGTTGGCTAGGTGCTCAATACCTCGTGAAGGGTAATGCAAGATCCGCAGACTGTTGGCCAATTACGAAATTGCTGAAATGTGTGGCGATTAGATGCGTGGCAAACAAGAACATTGTAGCAGGTGCATTGCTGACGAAATGAGATCCATGATGCGTTTGCGCAAGAGACCCACCCAAGCGCTTTCGGAGTAGGTACCATGGGGATTAGCTAAAGCGGGTTGTCTCTTTCTTGGTGTAGTGAGTGTGACGACCGAAAGTCTTGTGCTCAGTTCGTAGAACCAGACCAGTAGTCAATAGCCCGAGCTCTGGTCGCGTACAAGGCCCGTTGCAAGGTTACACATGCTGGCCCTCGTTGCGATCGCCGACGAATTGTTGTTTGCTCAGTTCATCTCGAGAGCGCTGGCAATTCGTGCGAGATTGAGTGGTCGACGGTGTCTTGGAATCTTACCAAGCGTTGGGATCCGACCAAGCAGTCTCTGTATTGGGTCCACTACACCGGGGCGGCTGACTGCATGCCTCTGGTATTGTACGACCGTTATGTGTAAGCGCGTTTCAGATGACAGAGGCAAAGACCCAGCACCGTGGCAAGCACCTTCGTGGAGGATATAATCCTAGTCGTGGGAGAGTTTCCAAGCCATGGTACGTTTTCCAACTCTTATAATGGCTAGAGCAGCAATTTCAAGTCACTCGTGCGCAAGTATGGTAATACAATGGCGTATAGAACGGCGTTGTAGGCCGGTCACACCAGATGAATTGCCTCCAAGCCACGGTGACGGCAAACGCGTCGCGTTGCAGCGTGCATGCTGATCCATTTCCGGAAATCACGACTGTGAACAGACACGATGGTAAAGAGGGTGATTCGCAGACTTGGCTACTACGGAGCCACACCTAATCCAGGTATATTTGCGGGCGTCTTACTAGCAGTTCTGCATAGCTGACATCGGCGTGGTGGCAGGGCGAAAAGGGCGCTGGAAGCTGTGGAGTTGCCGTGATTGATAGACTCGTAGATTGGCAGTGGGTAAGGCTATCGTAAGATGATCAGTGCCGCCCAAAGTCAGAGGAATGTCGGTACTTTGGAAGCAGTGGCAGCACGAAGCAGGGTCCCGGTGTCTTCCAAAGTGTGGTGGGAGGAATGCGGTCTCCTGCAGAAAATGCCCGAATGTCGCGTTGCGCTCCTGACGAGCTATGGTAAAGAATGCGAACAGGAGACCATGATGGAGACGACATCATGGCTCGATGGGTGATATTGTGACGGAAGCGCTGATGCTAATGGTCCGCTTCTGGCGGCTGACACACAGCCACGAGAGACCTGGCAGGCATCCGTTCGGGACAAGCGCGTTGGAAATACGGCATCAGCTTTCTAAGAATACTACAAGGCCACACTGGCCATGGTTCGCTGAAATGGCAGTTCGCGAACGCCGGATGGAGATAGATGTGGAAATCGCATTCGTTGAACGCGTTCGGCAGTCGCATTGGTGTCGGCAGACGCGTCGGTGGTGACGGTGTTTGCAGCCTTGAGGCGCGCAGTGACTGTGAGCATGCTAATGGGCCTGGGGTGCGAATAGATCGTGATGGAAGCTCCGTCAAGGTGAAGGGCTCCGTGGCGGTCAAGTCAGCCTCATCTCGCGGGAGGAGCGACGGGCGGGTGTAGTCGCTTTTTGTCCCGATGCGGCGTGATGCAAACAAAGCGAGGCAGCTACGACTCTCCGGCCGACGCAGGAGCGGTGGCTAACGAAGAAGGCGCTGGCAATGCCGTTGACTACCCCAAAGTGCCTGCGTGGGATAACAACAATGCCTTCGCCGGCGCATCGCCGTCGAGCCAACACAGTCGCGAAGCGAGGCGTGGGCAGCTTTGCGGTGCCTGGCTTGCCTGAGGCTGTTTGGTGTGGCTTTTCTGGCGATGCGCAGGATGGACAGGGGTCGGGCGAATTAAGGTTCTGCAAGCCACACCAGGAATAGATGCGTCTTCGCTTGACCGCTGGCAACGGAGCCCATTGCTCACCACACTCCAACACATACCCTCCCTTCCTGCTACTATGCCATCACCACCACCCTCACATGGGGCCATGCTGAGCATTGCCGCGGATTGGCCGCCATGAGCAGCCATCTGCCGTCATCGCGGCTACTCATTGTCCACTGAGCACTGGAGCCCATATCCCGGGCTCTGGAGGCTCATGGCCGCCCTGACAGTTGTCCACCTTAGAGGCCGTAGACTTGCTGCTGATGCTCACTGGAGTGCTGGCCCGCATGTATATCATCGTCAACGTCACCGCCGCGCTGGGCATCCGCAATGCTCTTGCTACGCCCGGCACATGCGTCAACCTCGCCATACTCAGCACCCCATTATTTCTTCTCAACCCCACTCCAACTGCTCGCCATCGCTCTCCGTGTTTACAACCCATCGCAATCACAATCTGATCCACATCCGACGCCTCACGCATAGTGTCTGACAGCTCTGGCCCTGCCTCTCCGCATCCGCGCTGCCTACCATTGCAGAGGTCTCAGGCCCCCACTTCACATTTCAGGTACTGGCCAAGACAACTGCCCTCCAGCGTCAGTCGTCTTCAAGTCTGGTGTTGTGTGTTGAAGCATTTTCGATTGACCCACTGTGGGCAGCCGTTACTGCACAGAGATAATCAGCACTCATTAGTGGAGCTCAGCTTACTGCCACTTTGCACTGCTGCGCCATCCGAGGCCACCCGCCAGAGCCTCAGCGCACAGGACCCAGCCGCCTGCTAGCCTTCACCGTTTTTATCCATCTATGCGAGCAAAGGACCCGTCAGGCTTTGCACGACGTGGTGCTCAACGGCCATAATACTAGCCTTTTGAGGGCGTGCTTCACCATCGACAGGCCCGCTAGGCTACCAGGTGGACGGGATCGGTAATCACCAAGACTCATCCCAGCCCCCAAGAATACCCTGTGCTCACTCGCTCTTCCTTGCAGCTGTGTCTATGCTACGCCGTAAACGCTCGACCAATCCCGTCTCCCTTCCGCTGCCCTGGGTCCGTTCGTCGCTCGATCCGTACATCAGCTCTACCTGGCATTAACTGTTGCCTACCTCCGTAGTCATAGCTCCATCGTCCCGCAGCTCCATATACCGTCCGCACGGCAAGGCTGCCGAGCCTCACGCACACTGGCCAGTCCTTGGTTGATGCCACTACTCCTTTGTCCTATATGTAAGTCAAGCTGTCAGTCACATCAAAATGCGGGTCGATTACTGCGCCATCCCGTACCAAGTCGCTCACATTCATCCCAGCACCTGGTCGTTGCTCTGAATCAGTGACGATTTGCGAAAGCAACACAACCCGTTCCCTGTTTCATCAGTACGAAGCTGCGATTGTCTGAGCTGCAGTTGGCGAAGAACTGGACTCACCGCGTTTGATACCGAGACTCAAAGTCGCTCTGGAGCCCGTATGAATCGAACTCCTGAACAGCCCGATCGTTTGTCTCTGAGCAGGCCATTTCTGTCGGCTTCGCTAGTCACAAGACCTCAGAAGATCGTCTCCAGATCTACCTCCCATCGCATTTGTGGTACTTTGTTGGGTCTACTTGTCGCAAAATCTGCCTGCAACAAGGGTACATTGTCTCTTTACCACTGGGAAGGACGCAGACCCTTACCCCACGAGTCCTGTGACATTTTGTCATCGTCTCACTTTCACCGAGACGAAAAGGCAACACTACCAACAGTCCCTGGGAATTTCTATCCCTGTCGAGCTGGGCCGTTTTATCTTGTCAAACCATCAGGTGCGTTATTCCTTCTACGTGACGGGTCCTCGAGGGGTGTCAGGACACCTGCTTCAGGACCCCTCCATTGCTGCCTGCGCGTTGACCCCCACATAAACATTAGGCTACCTACTAACGTTCCTCTAGAAATTAGCTAGCATCTACCAGACGGCGTCCTCGATAAGTGTCAGGACCTATCTGCAGCGTTGCGCAGTCCAGTCCTTGGTGGTGGGCCTCAGGCTGTCCAGGCTGCGAGAGCTACAGAACTACTATCCATGTCGGGATACAGCAAGAACCATGAGTATGTGTATGGTAAGTGGATTGTGGCTCATCTGACGAGTCTGGAAGCGCACCTGCCATGGTTGGGTCGGCTGAACCCGGCACTGGCCCACGTGAGAACGATTAGCACGTTTGACTGACCACCTACATTTCAGATGCCGAAGCCACCAGATCAAATCAGGTTGCAAGCTATCCGAGCATTGCGCAGCCCGCATTCGCCTCGCAGTACACGGATGCGCCCGCGCTACTAAGCCATGGGCCCACGAGCGCAGAGATGCCCTACATCCCTAGCTTGGTATACGAGTCACGCGGTGCAGCAGACCATCAACCCAATCCATCATTTATCGATGCAGGCGCTCGTCATCCCGCCTCCCTTGCAGATACTGAAACGGAAATCACCGAGCAAATTACACCCGCACAAGGCACTGCTGGATCAACGGTAACGCTGCACCTCCGAACGAATTACGATCTTGATGCGAATCAACATACCTTCATACTCATGTTTGGCCGCAAGAAGTGCGTCGCTGCACTCCGGAAAGTGGACTACGACGATGATGCACAATGGTACAACTACGTGCTAAACGTCGAAGTGCCCCCTTTCCCACTGACCAACACCTTCGACCCTACCATGATGTTGAAGATGCAGATGGAAGACAGAATGGGCAATCTACGATCGCAAACCGACGCTGGAAGATTCACATACACCGATATGTCGCCAAACCTAGAATTTCAGTCCTCACCCGAATTCTCCAGGAAACGAAAATACTCTCCAGAGTTCGGAAACACTCGAGGCTACTCCGATGGCAATGTCACAAAGCGAGCGTTTGCGAAACCACGCGCCTCGTCGGGAGCCTATTCTGCCGCTCAACTATCGCCGCTACCGACCCAGTCTGCGCTGGACAACACGTACGCACAGAATGCTGGGTACGACATGTCCAAACAGACAAATTACGGCTCTCAACTCTCCCAAAGGGCTCTTTACGCAGTGCCTTCAGGTACTCGCATGAGCCATGGCGACTACAAACTACCCCAGATGTCGCCGATGCCGCATTCTTATGCTTCCTACAACCCCCTCACTCATACTAGTCGGAGCAACACCGCGCCCGTTCTTCCCTCACCGCCCGCACTTTCAACACCAGTTCTGGTCCGTGCAACGCATCTCGCGCAAGGAGACGGTAGTGCTGGTTCGACTCAGCCTTTCAATCCTTATGCGATGGGTCCGAGCAAGGCGATATTGGAAATCGACGGCGATCTTGATAAGATGGGCGATAACTGGTCGCAGGAGGAGTTGGACGCGAAGAGACGGCTTGTCGAGTTCCAAAGATCGCAACTCGGCAGCAAGATAACGACAACTTTTGCGCCCACAACGTTGGAGGCTCGACAGGGGCGTGGTATCTGCGTCAGCTGTATCTGGTGGAAAGAAAAGAATGAGTGCTTCATCACAAGCGTAGACACCATTTTCCTACTGGAGCAACTCGTAAACGTCCGGTTTACCGTCGAGGAGAAGAATCGCATCCGTCGCAACCTCGAAGGCTTCCGTCCCCTTACGGTCTCCAAGGCGAGGGCGGATAGCGAACCATTCTTCAAAGTCATCATGGGTTTCCCTAATCCCAAGCCTCGTAATATTGAGAAGGACGTGAAGGTGTTTCCCTGGAAGATACTGTCGCATGCTCTCAAGAAAATCATCAGCAAATATGTACGTTCCCCCGCGACTAGCTACTGAGAGCGAAGCTAACAAGATCAGTCTGCTAGTTATGCTTCGACAGCTGGCATTGGACATCTCTCCACTGCGACAACTTCGTACGCTCCAAGCGCTGCCCTGCAGGCAACACTGGACGCTCATCGACGCACATCACCTCAAACGCTGCCAACGTCGACTGCTTCAACGGCTTATACATCCGGCTTAACCTCCTCTAGTCTATCGCCCCATCAAAATGTGGCAGCAGGCTTCGAAGGATCAGCAGGACAAGGCATGCCGGCTGCCCAAAGGACACCTTCAGTCCAGGGCATGACTCTGTGGGGCACTCCTACTCACCAGATATCACAATACCCCTCGCCTCTCTCTCATGGAGGACGAGGGTCCTGGGACTATGAATACCCCAATACTTCGGCTGCAACGGAGATGCCGCCAATCGCGCATGCGCTGCAAATGCCACGGCAGAACGGCTTGCCAGACTTCAGCCAAATGTCAGCAACTCATGGCTATCATCAATACGGTGAAGATACAACGATGGTGTAGGAGAGGCAAGATTGGGAGACGAAACTCCAAGGGTTACCGATACGACTACGCGTTGCGGGCTCTGATCTGCATCGGGTGATCAACCAATGTCCGCATGATCCATGCGGGCCTAACCCGATGGGGTGTTGCACCAATCGCTCTCCACACCACTCTTCGCTAGATTCGCCTCGCGCATCCCGCACACCTTCAGACGTTCGCAGTTCTCTAATAATATCTGGTATCTGGTCTGGCGTTGGAAACGGCGGTTTCGGCATTTGGACACTGGACGCATCATACCCCGGGGAGGCGGCGTTTACCACACTTTCGGTTTCATCATCGACTACACATAGAGGATCATCATTAACGGTACAAGCCATCTTACGCATACAACCCGATCGCGAACCCTGTCGATACAGGATGGTCAGCTTTGCATTACATTGGCGTTTATCCCACTCTTTCTACCCAATAATCTTTCCCATACTCGCCTCTCGGAGCGTTCGTTCTTACACGAAGCTCGAAGTCGATCGCTTTTGAGGCAACTTCCGCGCCAACCACTACTTCAAGCCTTTCTGGACTTTGCTCCCCCCATGTATCTCGATCCGCGTCTCCAATGCGCAACGAGAATATTTCCTTTCTTCCATATACCCAAGGCTTGGTGTTGGCCTAGCCGTTTCCATCGTTTTCTTCAAACTTCAGAGATTCCCCATTTCCCTTACCCTTCCAACTACACTGTATGTAGCGCAATGTATCCGTAACACACTGATTCTCGCCTCCACACATACGGTCCTTCAAAATATTTTCTCCGCAGCCTGGCTCTCTCCCAACATGTCAAGTTATGCGAGCTCCGCCACAATAGAGGGCGCAGTCACCCTTCGGCCCCAATCCTGACCACTGCCTAACACTTGCCAAGGAGCTACGACTCCCGCGGCCCCGGATGCGATATAGGCATCAGCTGAGCTTAGCAGAGTAGTTGTTATGATCTCAGCATATCGCGCACATTGACGAGGCGGAATGGGCGGTGGGCATACAAGGGCCCTTACAGATGACCAGCAGTTGTCCCGACGCCGAGGACCCGTGTCACACACGATGTTCAGGCGATCAGTCTTGGTCACCAAGTCACATGCCTTGATGAAGACCATCCCACGCGCAGTCCAGACCCTGATGATCTATAGAGAGTTGTTAGCGACGGCTAGATTATCGATGTAACTAACTGTGCCGCATGCGTTTCGTATGTTCGCATCACGAGAACATGTCGCTTGTATGTTCACCTAGTGCAGCCAAAACGGCCCAGACCGTGCTTCAACCCCCAAACGGAAGAGAATTTGGCCAAGGCGTAATACCAAACAGCTTCGACGTGAAATACACCCGAGCAGATAGATCATACTTACCACACATACTCCCATCAGATAAACCACGAGCCGTTTTTGGGCATAACCACGTGCATCTTCTCAGCAGAGCCCCGGATTCAGCATGTCATACGCGTTCATCTGGGCAGACCGACTGTTCGGTGCATCTGATCCGTTCTGATCTCACAGAGACGAAAGCATGGGTCACGGGGCGTATGTAGTCAGGGATGAGGCCGAAGAGGGCCGGGTGCTGATCTCACGTTGGATCGCGTGGGATAACGCAATGCTCACTGCAGATCGCAGGCGGAAGGGCGCGTCTTGCCTTACACCGGGTGAACTGGGATGTTTGACGCGAGGGTAATTTGTAAATTGAAGAGAGTAGCTGCTTTCTATGGTCACGATAATGACGACCTAAGAGTGAAGGCAAGGTTAGAGTGTAAGGGTATTAGTGCGAAGGTCGAAAGCTCGTTGACAGAAGATATATGCTGTGAAGAACCTAGTCTGATGGCAGCGATGATGGAACTAGATTTGAAGTCTTGAACGTGGTCAAAGTGGAATTCGCAGTATTGGCTCAGGATGATAGCGTAATAATAAGTGCAATTTTGAAGATACTAGTCTGAGTACATGTACACATTCGGACTGGCTAACCAGAACGACTGCAAAGGGGGGGCTCGAGCGAGCTATGACAAACGAAAGAAGCCGTAAGGGCTTGCTTGGAAAACGAAGAGTCAAACGCAACTTTTCTATCCAAATTTTCATGGTGATGGTAGCATCACACATAGGCTGCAATCATCGGAGCGGCTTAGATGCCACCGAGGATGTCAGTGAGGTCACCGAGACCCATGTCGTCGCTGCCCTCGCTGTCCTCCTCAGTGTCCATCTCCTCGTAGGAGTCCTCGACGGGGGCAGACTCGTAGGTGTCCTTGGCGGGGGTGGGGGCAGACTCGTAAGCGCCATGGGTAGGGGTGGGCTTCATCTCGTGGACCATGCTGGGCTTGGTGTACTCGTGGACCATGCTGGGAGTTGGGACGGCGCCGTAGGCCTTGCTGGGCTCGGGGACATGCTCGTAAGCCTTGCTGGGGGTTGGGACAGCGCCGTAAGCCTTGCTAGGAGTGGGAACCGCACCGTAAGCCTTGCTGGGCTCAGGAACCTGCTCGTAAGCCTCGCTGGGCTTAGCGGCATGTTCATGGGCCTCGCTGGGGGTAGGGACGGCACCGTAAGCCTTGCTGGGCTCAGCGTGTCCGTAGGCCTCGCTGGGCTTGGGGACGGCCTCGTATGCGGAGCTGGTGACTTCAGGCTTGACCTCCTCGTAGGAGTCTTCGAACTCGGGGGTTACCTCCTCCTCAGAGTCCTCCATGCCGAACAAGTCGCCGAGAGTCCTCTTGGAGAGGAGGTCGTCGTAAGACTCAAGCTCGTCGGAAGACTCTTCGGTGGCCTCGGGAATAGCCTCGTAGGTCTCCTCCATCTCAGGCTTGACCTCGTCGTAGGTCTCCTCCATCTCAGGCTTGATCTCGCCGTAGGTGTCAGTGACCTCGTGAGCAGGCTTCTCAGGCTTCTCCTCCTTCTCATCTTCCTTCTCCTCCTCCTTCTCGGGCTTGCCAAGGAGGTCGTCGAACAAGGTGCGCTTCATTCCAGGGATCGCTGGAAGCCTGGGGGCAACACGTCCGAGTTGGCAGGTAACTGTATCTGGTCAGCAAAGGAAGAAGAAGTGATGGCATAATGCAACATACGATCAGATCCGGAGCAGGCCTTGGTGTCTTCGGCGTCTTTGGCCAAAGGAAGAGCAGCGGCGAGCTGAGCAGCGGCGATGATAGCGAAGAACTTCATGTTTGCGTTTGATTAACTTCGGTGGGAAAGATCGTAAGAATTATTAGAAGGTAGTATTGTATAGTAGTGACTGTTGTGTGAATGAGATGTAATGAGGTGATGAGAAAGAAGGTGGTATGAGATGTAGCCTTATATGCTCGAATGTCGGTGTCTATACTGCTGCTTCTTCCAGTGCACGGTGTTGAAGTGTGCTTTTTTGCCAGAGTCGTGACTGCACGCATGAAGATCGGATCTGTGCTAATCAAAGCTACCAGAAACATTCCAGAAGCATTGTTCAACGGCCGCTCTACCAGCGCATCGCCATAGCGGTGAGAAGTCCGTCGGCTCGTGGGAAACATTTCGTCTATGCCTTGATCTGATCGCGCGTCTGCACCATGCTTCCAATACCCACCATGGAGCCGCCCGGTGCACTTCTGAGCAGATACCAGATTCGGAGACAACAGTGTGCGCCATGGACGTGAACCATTGCTTCACTCGTCATGTGAAACGGGGATGAGGCGACTTTTCGACCAAAGCCAGCGCGTTCGTATTCTCTTGGGACATGGCATGCCGTGCACTCCTCAACATCTGCAACATCTGAAAATCAGACCCGCACCTATCCTCATAAGACAAGCTGTCCCATCTAAAGATCGTGAGAAGCGATCTGAAGCCAAGTTAGACATAGTCACGCTTCAGGCGACACAGGTGCACGACCTCCAAAGATGTTTGCAATAACTTTGGCGGTCAGCTAGCCTACACGCCTAGCTAAAGATCGAGGACGTGGTAAACTGTGTGATGGTCTCGGGCATGTGGAGTGACAGGAACAAACTCGTGGAGTCGGGGTGCAGAAAGAAGGATGGGAAAGAGCAAACATCGTTGGGGATGCAGGACCCACCTAGCGCCCGCGCGGTCCGCCCAAAGTGGGCTAAGGCGAGCACATCAATGGAGCGGTGGACTAGAACCACGACGCATCTCAACGGCATCTTTCATCGCGCTGTTCATCTTCTAACACTTGGGGATGTGCTAGACTTCCGTGCGCTAGGCAATCGATAGTATTGTCAAGAGAGCTACCGCGGCATCTTCCGCTACCAGCACCACAACCCGACCCCACGATCAATTCCATCACTTCGTCCTCGTTGTAGTGCATTCCTCGTCAGGAGCAGCCATGTCATAACACTTGAATGGTCCCAGAATACCGAAACATGGATCTCTGCGTTGCTCACAGCTGAATCCTTTACAGCAACCGTCTTGAGGGAAATCGCCAGGATCAGCAAGGCAATGTTCTGCTCATCATTAGCTAAATGCACGCACGCGCCTTCTATATTGCTTTCACGCCCGCAGTTGAACAGCAGAGGGGTTTACAACGCACCACCGAGAGGTTGACAAGATGTTTGTCTAGACTCGTGCAGAGAAAATGAAGCGGCCGATGACGCAAGTGCGAAGAGTAGGTGGATGGTGATCTTCATGGCGAACGAGGAAAGCTGGGCACTCACGGTAAAGCAAGTTTGAACGAGGTTGGAGCCGAACTCCGTCTCTTTATTATAGACCACCTCCATTGTTTTTTTTTCGCAAAGACTCCTGCGCTCCCTACTTGCGCAAGCTCACCACGCTTTTCTTCTCGTTGTCTCAAAACTTGAAGTGCGACAGAGATTAAAACACAAGAGTCGGCGACCGAACTGCTCGCAGTTATCGTGAGATCAGCATAAAACTCGTGTTTCGAGACTACAGAATGTTCTGGACTACCACCGACATCTTTCTGGTCCGGGTTTCGGTGCGTGAGGCAAATAAGAATGGCGATCCATGTGTCGCGCGTTGTGCGTTAAGGTTCGAAGAACGAAAAAGCATCGCTCGCCACGCATGAGGCTACTGTCAGCTTCGGGCCTTTCTTCTCAACGGCTGGAGTCGAGCTCGATGTTCTAACTGCATGTCATATGTCGATTGGATTATCGCACTTTCCCCTTCAACGCAGCAGGACCTTACGCCGCACTATCCTCAACGCTACCAGCTTGACGTGACTGACACGAGATGATTTGTAAGACGTACACTCCAGGAAGCGCGAACAACGAATGGAAAGAGCTGGGGGTAGCGAAAACGAGCTTCTCTCGTACACCACCGACTTCTCAACAACAGACACTCAGATGACCAACTTTCTCAGCCACGGCACCACAAGTCGGCGACGTGTCTCACCAGTACCTTGTATACAAAACTCGTCATCCATTCGCCCGCCCACCGCTCACCGCTCACCGCAAAGTCCGCCGTACTAACTCCCGTCACTCATTTCTCCGTGACTAGCAACTCCATCTTCCTCAACACTTTTGACACCCTACACGCGCCATTTTGATGACGACGTTGGTCCTACATCGCAAGGCTGAATCGCCGTATCAAAAATTCAAGGCCCTTATACGTCCCGTGCCACGCTCATAGCCGGCATCAAGAACTCCCGTATCAAAGCTCCATAGCGCTCACACAATTTCTACCTGCCTGGTCTCTCCCCAAAACCTCCTCATCTGCTCACCCCCCGATGTTATGACCCTCGCATCAAAGCTTCAGACTCTCCTACTCATAACACTTATGAGTCTCGTCCAAATGCTCATGTCCATCCCACCTCCTCTCACATACCAAACATTGACAACATCCATGCTGCGGATAATCAGGCTGCGGCATGCAGTAATCTAGAGAGCGATTAGAAACCTCTCTTGGTCACCAGATAGCAACCTTCACACCCCTGCTAGTATAAACGTTTAGACAGTAAAAAAGCGGAGAAATGTGGCAGGATGAGACGTAGTGCTTCAAAAACTTACCTTTAACACCCCAACACTCCGGTTTTCCAAGAGGCTCGGCTTCCCAGTAGAACGGCTACAGACACTCAGAAATTGCGTGCCTCTGACTCTCCCTACAAAACAAGCCCGGACAGCATATCTGTGGCTCTGGAACCTTACTATTGCGCCATTCTGCTACGTACGAATTAGCCTTCACACTATTCTTACACACTAGGCTGAAATGTGATGTTAGGTAGTAGTGGGTGAGAAACGAGTGGAAGTACGAGAGAGAGAAGGGAAATGTACCCATAGTATCTAAGTACCGGGGCGCAAGGACCGACTGGTCATGCTAACTTTTGTTGACAGTAATAGATAGACAGTTTGCTGCCGTGATGAAGAGAAGCGTCAAGAAAGGTGCTTTCATAATTATTGCGGGCTGTATGTAGTGCTGATGTAGAGATAGCAGGCAGGTATCAAGAAGAGAGACGAAGTTGTTGGGCAGACAATTGTATACATACTCGTACCAATATATACATTCTACAAAGCGCCTCCATGTAGTACACGACAACATAACTAACAACGTTGTACCGCTCCTCTTCGGCATAGTCGCGACTTCCCTTGCTATACGAACGTCTACTACGGTACTTACCTTGTTCTTTCAACTAGTGTGGAAGCGACCTTGATGTACTACAATTCAAGTCAACGTATAAACGTTCAATACTAGGAAAAGGACTTCCTACGTACCTCAACATCAAAGTTATTCTACCGCTTTAGTACCAGGATATGCATATCCGGGCTGGAATCCGTCGCATCCTGAGGCGTACGCGGACGTACTTGGGATGTTGGTCAAGGCGAACGCGCCCAGAAGCTCAGAGAAAGAAGAGTTTTCGCAGAGAAAGTCGTGGCATGGTTTTGATGCTTGTGATACATATACACGTACGTACAGTCAAAGGCAATCCTTGCGCTAGGCAAGTGCCTGCGGTGTTTTAGCCAGATGTAAAAGGAAGAGAGAGACGGTATTGTAAGAATGGTATCATGGTATCATGGTACATACAGACCACTGCTCACACGAGGAGTATGATAAATGATGAGATAAAATACCTCTTCACTTTCTGACGAACTTTGAATGGAAGTTTTTGAGAATGAAATGAGATAAACTATCTACACTGCAATGCAATTACCAGGTTCTGGCCCGGAAGAGCCTGCTGTAACTCAGCCCCGGGCATAAAGACGGAGTAATCGCTATCGTGACTCAATAGCAATTCGTCTACAGTCTTTTAGAACCATACTGCTTGTTACTACTCAATATCGCGCGTATAGTATTGCATATGACTACGTTGTTTGACAGGAATAGTATTAAAAATCATATCGTATGGGAAACAGGATCTTCCTAGCACATTCATCGTTTCGTAATTCTTCCGAAGTTCGTATACGCGTCATGTACAATAAGTACAAGGTGTTCGGGAAGTATATCTGCATTTCAATTATATTCATAGCTACTCAACAGCATCGTACCTGTGTTAAAGCACTAGTAGGATCGCTGACGTAGTATCGCTAGTAGAAACACACCACACTACGCACTCATCCAAGAAAGGCCACTATGCTTGAACACAAACAGCAACACAGTTCTTCCCACACACAACACCAACAGTCACTAAATCAACCACTTCAACGAATCCAAAAGGTGCACACAAGTATAAAGCGCAAAAAAGATGTCTTTTCATTATCTACATGACTCATGTTCCTTATCATCCTTTCATCCATTCATCCATCCATCATCTCATACTCATGCAAAAGCGTGCAGCAGTCATTACTGAGGAGGAGAGATCAAAATCGCAACGACGACGAAACAAAACAGAACAATCTAAAATCCTCCCACAGCCACCCACCATCTTCAAAAGGAGGGTGCCAGTGCAGCAAGGGTATAATGCAACTTCCCGTCCATCTTCCACTTCCATCTTTTCATCGTCTCGTACTTAAGCTAAAGAAAAAGATATCATCAAACAAGCGTCGTCCTCACGCTTATTTCTTACCCTTCTTCTTGTTCTTCTTCTTGTTCTTCCCCGAGCTAGGTGTAGCCTCGCCGTTTGCCTCGCCGTCTTCCTCTTCGGCTTGGTTGCCAGGCGTGGTAGGTGTAGTAGGCGTGCTTGGCTCTTCAGCCTCCTTGGGAGCTTCGGTCTCGGCGGAACCATCGACAGCGGGAACATCGGCAACGGCTTCGGGCTCTACCTTGGCTTCTGCGACGGGCTCGGCAACGGGCTCGGCGGCGACTTGCTCAGCGGCGGGCTCAACGGCGGGGACGGCGGATTCCTTTGTAGACTCGGCGTTGACCTTCTTGAGCTCTTCTTGTTCAGCCTGGGCCTTCTCGAGTTGCTCCTTAGCGCTGGCGAGTTCAGTCTTGATGTCATCGCGCTCCTTCTTCGCGGCCTCGGCGTCGGATGTCAGAGTGGTAGTCTTCTCCTCGTGCTCCTTTAGGGTAGCCTGGAGGGACTCGAGCGACTTCTTCGCGTCGGCAGCTTCAGTCTTGGAGGTCTCGAGGTCCTTGGTCGCGGTCTCGGAGGCAGCGGTGGCCTCGTCGAGCTTAGCCTGGAGTGCGGTGAGTTCAGACTCCTTGGCCTTGGCGGCCTCGACGGCAGACTCGAGCTCAGCGATCTTAGCATCGTTGGCCTTGATCTTCTCCTCAAGCTCGCTCTTCTCGGCAGTCGACTTCTCAGCCGAGGCCTTGAGGTCGGCGAGCTCAGACTCAACAGAGGATGCCTTGGAAGCACCCTCCTTCGCCTCAGCCTCAGCCTGCTTGGAGGCCTTGAGCTCCTCCTCGACAGCGTCCTTGGCCTTCTTGGTCTCCTCAAGTGATTCCTGAGCGGTGGCGAGGTCCTTCTCCAAAGAGGCGACCTTCTCATCTCCAGATGATGCAGCAGCCTCCTTGGCCTCAAGCTTGCTGGTAACGTCCTTGAGAGATGCCTCGAGGTCGGCAACCTTGCTAGCCTCAGCCTTCGCGTCGGCAAGCTCCTTCTCGAGAGCGGCAACCTTGTCTTCGCTTGATGACTGAGCGGCCTTGAGTGACTCCGAGTGTTCAGCCTCCTTCGCCTCCAGCTTGCTCGTGGTCTCCTTGAGAGATGCCTCAAGCTCTGCAATCTTGGCAGCAGACTCATCGGCACCACCCTTGGCGGAGGTCTCGAGGTCTGCGATCTTGCTGCGGAGGCCATCAGCCTCTTCCTTGGTCGATTGCGATTCCTTGGTGGCGGTCTCGAGCTCAGACTTAGCAGAGGCGAGTTGCTCCTCAAGCTCAGAGACCTTGCCAACGTCGGCGGACTTGGCCTCGAGCTCCGACTCCTTTGCGGTCAGGCTCTCCTGAGCAGCCTTGAGGGAAGCCTCAAGCTCTGCGACCTTGGAGCTGGACGACTCGGTAACAGTGCTGGCTTCTGACTTGGCGGCTTCCAACTCAGACTCCTTGGATGCGAGGGCGTCCTTTGCCTCCTTGAGAGATGCTTCGAGCTCGGCAGCCTTGCCACCCTCGCTCTTCGCGGCCTCTAGCTCAGCCTTGTGGGCGGTGAGGTCATCCTGGGCTTGCTTCAAGCTAGCCTCCAACTCAGAGATCTTTGAGCTGGACTCCTCAGTAGCCTTGCTGGTCTCACCCTTCGCAGCCTCAAGTTCAGACTCCTTCGACGAAAGGCTGTCCTTGGCCTCCTTGAGTGACGCCTCGAGGTCAGCGATAGTCTTGTGCAGAC